AGGGTCAATTTTTCAAAATTGAGATTTATACATCATCTGAAAGCTGAATAAATAAGCTTTCCATTGATGTATGGTTTGTTAGGATAGGACAATATTTGACCGAGATACAACTATTTGAAAATCTGGAATCTGAAGGTGCAAAAAAATCTAAATATTGAGAAAATCGCCTTTAAAGTTGTCCAAATTAAGTTCTTAGCAATGCATATTACTAATCAAAAATTAGGTTTTGATATATTTACAGTAGGAAATGTATAAAATATCTTCATGGAACATGATCTTTACTTAATATCCTAATGATTTTTGGCATAAAAAAAGTTTTGTGGTCCAGGGTCACAAATAGCTGTAGATTTTTTCATTTGCATAACAGTCCTACAAATGACAATATTCCGAACGTGCTGTGAAGAACATTACTTTGGAGAATGATGGGTCCCTCTCGTCATCAAACCTGAACCTGTCTGCCCCGCGTAACTGTAAGTAGCAGATATTCATTATCTTTCGCTCACTTCGCTGAGGTATGATGGAATTTCATCAATTATGTATAGTACAGATAGTTCTAATTGAAGAAAAGAAGAATTACCCCACATTCTCGATTTGATCAGTGTAATTGGAAAAACTTAGCCAGAGGTTCCTTGGAAAGATAAGCAATATAAATGTTTAAATGTGATGAAGGAGTCACATTATGCTAGGTAATTACAACACCTCTTCACAGAAATGGGTGATCAATAATTAACGTATCTTGGGTCACAAGTCGGGGACATAATTTAAAATTGGTTATTAATTCTATTATGAAAAATGTACATTCTCTTCAGATTATGTTGCCGAGTCCACAGGGAGAGGTAAAGGAGGTCTGGTGGTTTTAATTCAGTCTCTCTCTCTCTCTCACTCGCTGCTCGGTCCCTCTTCCCACCGGCTCTATGAGAGCTGTCAGTAATGTGATGATTTATGTTTCTGAATTAAATCACATATTAAATGAAGTAATTTGGGTCTCTTTACTCAGTTTGATTGGCTGAATGAGACTGGATTGATTATCATGCAGATTGGAGGGAGTGGACGCTGGCTTTCTCATGATCGGTCAGCCGTTGCTCTCTCATAACACTGCAGACTTGCAAATCACAGTTGTCACTAGGATTCAATGTGGGATTGTTCAAAAATTCTGATGTATTGAAAAGATGTAAAGTTCACCAAATACAGATTCTCCACTAATAAAAGCTGGTTTAAACTGGTCATCCACCCTATTCTTAAGGCCTGTTTACACCAAGAAAGACAACAACAATAATAGCATCTTCACCAAGGCACGATATCGTCTGTTTATTATAAGCATGTGCTGCAGTTATGTCTTCTGACACTTTAAATGCTCATTCTCATTAAAGCAGGATGGATTCTGATTGGCTGTCAATGTTTTTATATTTCATCAGATGGAAAGAATCTTTTTGGAAGTGATTCCAACAATATCGTTAGAATAGTTGTGGTGTGGACCTTTACATTCAGAATGATTTTTAAACTATATCATTATTGTTATCATCTTTGTTTTGGAAGAGGTCTTCCAGCCTTTTCAAGCTGCTCTATAACCAATCAACAAACCAGGCTGGAAGACCGGAAATCTGAGACCGGAAAACCATCTTAGACTGGTTTAAGCTGTTTCAGCAGGGTTGCTTGAAATCAGTGATTCTCAACCCTTTTGATTTTTTACTTATTTTAAAGCTTGTTTTATTTTAGAGGCCAATTCTAGGGATGCACCGAAATGAAAATTCTTGGCCGAAGCCGAAACCGAAAAAAAATGAAACACTAGGCCGAAGCCCGAATACCGAACACGCCTTTACGAGTTTTTTTTCCCATGTATTTTGCCAATTTGTTTCACCATTGCACAAATTAAATAGCCAAAATGTGCTTTTTACTGTTTTGTCTTGCTTTTCAAAGAAAAAATCAATTACAAAACAACAATTTAAAAATATTTAAC